CTACTACTACTACCAATACTACTACTACTACTACAACTACTACTACTACTACTACTACTACGACTACTACTACTACTACTACTACTACTACTACTACTACTACTACTACTACTACTACTACTACTACTACTACTACTACTACTACTACTACTACTACTACTACTACTACTACTACTACTACTACTACTACTACTACTACTACTACTACTACTACTACTATGACTACTACTACTACTACTACTACTACTACTACTACCACTACGACTACTACTACTACTACTAACGCTACTACTACTACTACTACTACTACTACTTCTTCTTCTTCTCGGGGCGAAATTGCGGAACAGATCGGAAACCACCCGAGGAACGGCATGATGCCGAGATTTTGGGCCTCCAGCCCACCCTGAAGGTCTCAGGGGCTTCGGAACCCCAACCAACCGACCACCACCACCCGCGAGCAGAGGGAGGGGAAAAAGCCCGCAAGCACGAGAGCCGCGATGCAACACGCAGAGCGGAGAGCCAGCGAAGAGCGAGAGGGGAAGCGGCACAAGCGGCAGGCACGCAACCGCAAGGGGGGTGGGGTTCCACTGCGCCCTGGGCCGCTTTTGGGGAGGGGCGACTAAATTTGCGACTGAAGTTCAAAGCGCGTCCCCCCACCCAAGATTCCGAAAATACCCGTGTATGCCTCTGGGGTGTGCGGAGGGGGGGGGGGGGGGGGGGGGGGGGGGGGGGGGGGGGGGGGGGGGGGGCGTCTCCTATCAGGTCCAGGATTCGGGGTGTGAGGAGGCCCGACGACGGAGGAGGAGGAGCTGTAAACCTGTGCACGGCGCCTCTCGTCGAAGGCGGCGCTCTCCACTGGCCTCGCGGCGGGAGGCCCTTCTTCTGGTGGTGGAAGGTGTCCACCCTTCTTTTCTCGGAACCCAACGCCCTGCCAATGTCGTCCTCCCGCATGTTCTGTCCTAGACGTCGTCCAGGTACGTGTTGAGGATTCGCTCCAGATGCGACATCGGGGCCACTCCGTTCTTCGAAACACCGCCCAGCTGCTCCAAGCAGGCGTACAACCGCTGCAGCATGTCTAGCTTCGTTATCGTGATCCTCGCGTCCGTCTCTTTGAACGTGGCCTGCACCTTGACTAGTGAGAAGAACTCCGCCGCCTGCTTCGGTGTCATCTCCGCGATATTGGTCTTCATGGTTTCCAATTCCTTCTGGTTCTTCTGTCCGACAGCAACGCCCTGCCCCTCGCATCCCTCGATCAGTCCGACCATGGCCGCGCAGCTGATGGTGTTCAGCGTGGCCTCGATTTCATCCTCTTTGTTTCGCTGTCGTAGCTCTTGTGCCTTCTCGATCCAAGCTTTGACCCTCCCCCTCGCCTTCACTACGGGCTCCGTGTTCGCGCCACCGATGATCGTCGTCAGGGTCACCGCCTCCACCTGTCGCGTCAGCACGGGGACCAAGGAGCGCAGCGTCTCCACATCCATCTTCTCGAGGCCCTCCAGCTCCTCCTGCGATACGACTCTGTTGTTCTGCTTCTGTCCACGCGTCTTGCCACGACGCTCCGCCTGCGTTCCTCTTTCTCCCTGGTCTTCGCGGTTCCGTCTCCGTCCGCTTCCTCATTCGTTCCCTGCGCCCTGTCCCTCCGCCGCCAGCGTCGGTACCAGGTCGAACAGGCTCCCCATCTCGCGCAGCTGGAGGCCGCGGGATGTCCGACTTGAATACGGGCAGCGGTCTCGGCAAGTGTCTGCGCAGGTGCGCCTGAAGCTCCTCGAGCCCCTCAAATTGCTCAAGATCAGGACAGAAAGGGGCAACTTCGCTCGCATGGATCTATGACAGGATGGTTGTAGGGGCTGGCATCCACTCGGCATATCCCTTGCTCATACGCGTGCTGTGAATGTCGAACCGCCGTCTGTCTATCCTTGAAGCTGCTCCTGCATGTTACACATTGGTTCGTCATCGTGATCTTCTCCGTCGTCCTCTGTCCTCCGTGCTGTCCCCCCTCTGCCTGGCGCTAAATGGACGAGGAGAGCGTTTTTTTTACTCTTGAAGCGCTTCGAGCACCGTAGACCGTCTGCGCCATGCAGCTCGCATTCGTAGTCACCATCTGCGTGTCCACCTGGTTCCTGTACTTGCTGTGTCGCGCCAGCCCCTGGTAAGATGTCTGCCCTTCGCCGCATGAGCCATTCGCTGCGGAACTGTTTGACGTCGAGGAGAGTGAAGGCCGCGTTGACTTCCGTTTCCGCATCAAAGAGGCTCAGGTAGTCACCGCTCATCATCTCCAGGATCAGCGCCCCCTCCTCCGTCACAGCCATGTAGTCAACGTCCTCCCTGAATTGGACCGCCCAGGGATTGGTATTTGCCGTACTCGTATACTTCATGGGAGGAGGAGGAGGAGGAGGAGGAGGAGGAGGATGCTCCCTTTTTCCAGCTCAGGCAGGCCAGGTGGCGAGGCTTCGAGACGCCGCAGGCGCAAGAGGCTGCCGCCAGGGGATCTCCGATCCGCGGGCGGCCACGGACATCAACTGAAATTTCGGACTCATCCAGAGACAGAGGGAAAGCGAGGGGGGGAGGGAGGGAGCTCGAGCGAAACGTCAACGGAAGATCGCAGACGGGCGGCCAGCAACGCTTCCCAAGGAGCAACCCTGTTCAGATAACGATTTATGCTCGCTTTTTCCAGCTCAGGCAGGCCAGGTGGCGAGGCTTCGAGACGCTGCAGGCGCAAGAGGCTGCCGCCAGGGGATCTCCGATCCGCGGGCGGCCACGGACATCAACTGAAATTTCGGACTCATCCAAAATGCTGCAAATTGCACAGCTAAACTGGCTACGCCGAGAATGCATCAATTATTATTCACGAGTCGGAAAGCGCTCGAGCAGCACGGCCAATCAGAGCGGAGAACTGCCCAGCCCGGGACCTGGCCTTCTCGTCCGCGTACGCTCTGGCGAGGATGTTGCAGAGCTTTCGCGGATATGCTTCCGCCAACTTGGTGCGGAACCTGCCCGACGCGTCTTTCCCGGACAGCTCCTGATGCCTCTGCCCAGTGAGGACGCAGACGGGCCCCACACACCTGAACTTGGCCAAGGGCGCCAGGTCGAGGAGAAACGCAACGATCTTGGTGCTCTTCCTCCAGGGCGCCCCGAACCGGCAGTACTCGACCACCTGGGCCGTGACCTGCCGGCGTTGGAGCAGGGACAGCATTGGCGGCAGCTGCCACGCGTAGCTCAGCGCGGGGTTCTCGAGGGACCAGGGGACGAAACACTGGCAGCACAGCACGCA